TACAGACAATATTATATATACTAACGTGATAACTTAGCTGCAACATTTCTACATTATTTGCACTGTATACATTATTTCTGCAAAAAAACACATACTTTGAAGTCAGAGGGGTTAATGGGAGAGAGCGGGGACACCCTAGCATTGCCGACTTTCTAATTTATCAGTTTCAGCGCTCTTATACACTCACACTGCTGCATTAGCATTATCGCCTTCACAGCAACGACAGTCTTTCTCCTTTAATATTTCTGTGATCGTTTTTTTGTCCAATCCACAGAAGAACTGATCATTTCAGGAGAAGCCTGGAGCAGTGTTCGTATCATGAAAGTGAACAATATGTGAGCAAGAATGAAGTGGTTGAGCCGGAGGTCGTGTTCAAAAAAGTTAGTACGCCCCCACTACTCATTTCTGTAAGGAAAAGAGGAAACTTGCTTGCAGACAACTTAAGCTATGACAAAATTCAGTTGTTGAGTCTCAAAACAATAATTTCTGTTTTTAGCCGGCGGATATTGTTCACGCTACGCATCGCTTGGCTCCCGAGATAGAAAGCGGACCGCCCATGCATACGGAAATCGGCGGGGAAACTTTTATTATAGCAGAAGAGGCAAAAAGCGAAGGTTATTTCCAAACATGAATTATTGGCTGTGGCGCCAGTTGACTCAGCTCGTAGCGAAGTTTTCAATAGCAGTAAACTTTCAGAGAAGCAAATTCCGGATCGCAATGATGAGGAGACATTGGCAGGTCTGAATAAGAAGGCGAAAGCAGGAATAGCCACATCGACGCCGGCGAGCTCTTTTCCACCTCCAGTTGAAGATCCCATAGAAGGTTCTCCCATCAACATTTTTAATCAAATATGGTCGTAATGGAGAAAACGCTGGAGTGAAGGATGCTCGATATATGTCTTTAAGTCCATATAACCAACCAGGCCCTTCTGTCAAATGAGTGGCGTGCAGGATATCACTGTGACCTCTCGGTTGGCCCTATAAAAAACGTCTTGCACTGGACGGGTGATAAGTACTAATTGGCGATATTCAGCCCAGGATCGAAGGGCTTAGCATAATTGCGCCGCACCTGTGCGATGGTGCCACTGATTACCCGGAGTTTTCGGTATTCTTGGTATGTGTTTTAGTTAACTGTGTAATTTAACAAAATTTATTTAGAATCATTCCGCCCACTTCCTTCGAGTGCTGCTGATCAATTCTTCCAGCAGTCCGTTTTTGACAAAGCTATTGGAGAAGGTACTGCATTCGGAAAGCGCATGAGTCTGTCTGAGGTTTGTCTCCTATTTTCACTCAAAATTTTGTAGGGAAATTTTGGTTGTTAGAAATGACCTTTTCGTTTTGGAAATAGTGGCTTTAACGGATGCTGAAATAGTAGTGCTAAAATAAAGCAATTTAAATATCTACAATGGCGCAGTGAAGTAAACGATCGAAATGGTTATTCTTGGATGCACGATTCAGCGTGGATTCCAAATCCATTTCCAGCTTTGCAGCTGGGGACTTTTCCTTTTGTTTTGGCCAGTGTTGCATTCCGCGGTGGTCAGCTTGCTGGCGATCCTGACGTTCATCTAAAAACCTTGGCTCATCGGGTTCCTTCAACGGAAAGCATTTACAAAGCTTTGCTTTGCTTTGAGCATCACTGCCTGGTTTAGAAAGTTACCATTTACAAAGCACGATGAGAGATACCTTGCTGACCGGGAGATTGTTCCTCTTCGGATGATAAATTAGAGTTTCCATGTATTTTTTTCTTTTTCAACGAGAAAGCACATGAATTTTAGCAGCGTCGAGTTACCATGACACGATTGTCGGAGAAATTTGGTGCCGAGAACATAGTTGGAAATAAAGTAGCAGGATTGAGTGCCGAAAGCAGTGTCAACGAAGAATTGCGCCGTCTCTCGATCGTGCCAAATGAGGCTGATGCCGAAGAACATACTGGACAAGGACTCAAGTACTTTTTTCGATAGTAATTTGCGTGCAACAAGCGCGAACTTTTTATTAAAATGGTATTCGCTGGCCTCATATCTTAGGTCAGTGATCGAATCGGAAGTTAATCCATGGGATGAGAATGTGCGCAATAAAATAATGTGCGATCGGCATTTTGTTTCCACAAATCTCCATGACTTCCAGGTGAGCCATCCACTTGTATTTGCTTACATCGGGCTTTCGTTAATCATATTTGGACAGTTCCTGCTTTACTGTCGCTTTTTCACCCGCCATTATTACAACTTACAATTTCATTACTTCTTATTTAAGGCCTTTGTCGTTCATATACTTCCATATGGCCGCTCAGGCAAGCCCTTTTAACATACCGCTTTCACTGTGTTCTCTCTTTGCCATTACTTCGATGCCATTCAGTAATCCGCCTTGTTCATCTGCTGTTTCTCACTTTTACTAGACAGGCATGCTTGGACTGTTACTGCTCAGATCAAACTGAGTCGATGCTCAAGTTATCACGATCTCCGACCTCAAGAATAAGTTAAATGATGTAATGTTGAAATTTAAGAGAGGCACATGCAAGGGAAAAGGCGAAAAACAAATTCAAAAAAAGTTTTGTTTTTTTCTTTGACGTATGTTCTCTTTACAGGAGAAGTGCGGCCGATTTAATCCTGATGTCCGGATAACTTTGGGAGGGGAACGTTTCGACGTTAAGGAATTAATCGCACAGGGCGGTTTTGCAAGAGTGTACAAGTGCATTTCTGAAGACGGCAACACTTACGCCATTAAGGTATTCTTAATAATTTCTCGCACGCTGCCGTTGTACGATGGCAGGCACAACAGTCCATGCTGGAAGCATGAAACATCGTCAGGCATGGCGTTCTGTTAATATCCTGGCTTGTTGCAGTATGAAATACCGCCGTGCAGATGGGAAGTGTATATTTGTGAATCACTACGAAATCGAATGCCACAAGCGATGCTGCACAGCGTGATGAACGTTCGCGATGCTTATATCTTTTCAAATGCGAGTGCGATCGTCTATGAATACCACAGTTGTGGAAACCTCCTCGTAAGATGCTCTTCCCCATCCTCCACATCCAATTTGTTTGTGACAATAACTACTGGGCACAGTCGTCTTTCAAATTTCAGGATATGGTCAACAGATTGCAAGAAAAACAGATGTCCTGCTCTGAGCTGCTGAGCTTATACCTGGCTTGGGAAATGAGCCGAATTCTGAAGATGGTTCATGCTGCCCAGATCATACACGGCGATGTGAAACCGGACAATTTCATGATAACTCATGGGTTATTCATTTCATTTTGATCAGCTATGGTTATTTATTCTTTGAACAGCTTTTCTACGGCTGCCAATTGGCAGTTTGGTTTGTTTAATTGGGTTTGCTTACCAATTCCTAGCAATATTGATCTTACAGACTGGATGAGAATGCGACGGTGGAGGAAATACTTGATAAAAGATCTTTTACACTGAAGCTGATTGACTGGGGCCGTGCCATTGATATGGGCTCCCTCAAAGGATGCAAATTTCGAGGAAAAGCGGGGACTGACGCTTTCGACTGCTTTGAGATGCAAGTAAAATTTGGCTGTGGTTTTTTTGCATTCTAATTTGTTGCCGAATTTTAGTTAAATTATTTTTTTATGAAAAAGCACTCCAATTCGTTACAAGTTTGTTACGAAACTAACATGTTCCGATTGTAATATATTTGTGCGTTTTTGCGATGCAGTGCTGGAGCGCTGCAGCAAGTAGCAAAAATACATACCACAACTACCCTGTTAGTGTATGGTTGTGTGTGTGTGTTCGTTCTGTCCGGGTATTTCAACTCGCCCACCATGCAAGTTTTGGAGCTAAAATTTTACCAATGTGTTCCTCGGCCAAATGCCACCCTTGAACCGCGGCACCAACTCTCGTACACATCTGAGCCCCGCGTACGGCTACATGAAAGTTTTGGTGGGAAAATTAATAGCTCGGGATGAGAAAGCTAGGAGGTTGAAGCTTTGGGGGAATGTTCCCCCTCACGTACGACCAAAATTTTTCAAATTCGACTCTATGGAACTGCCTGGGACTCACGTATGGGCACGTGAAAATTCTGGCGGGAAGACTGCTAATTTGGGAACGTGAACAACTAGAAAGCTGAAACTTTAGGGGAATGTTCACTACCCATGTACGTCCAAAAGTTTTCAAGTTCAGCTCCTTAGAACGGCCCAATCCCACGTGCGGGCACGTACATATTTTGACGGGGAAATCGCCAACTTAGGAAAGGGGAAAGCTAGGAGGCTGAAACTTTAGGGGAATGTTCCCTACCGATTTATGCCTAAAAGATTTCAAATACAGTTCTTCTGGTGGAGTCTTTTTCGCACACCTGCAACTTCCCATTTGTCGGGCCATTGAAACCACATCTACAAGTGACATGTCATATTGCTACGCAATTAACTTCTTAGACTTCGAGGGCCAGTATATCACAAATCCAAACCATCGTTATTCCTTGCAATCTTGCTACAGCACGAAACAGTGCAAAAACGCATGATCCCTTACCGGCTCGCCTGGTGCGCTCCAGCCTGGATCATTAATGATTCCTTACTAATTCCCACATGCACGTTCTCAACATCTTATTTTACGAGAAACTGCAAAGTTGAATAAGATAAATTGAAGGATGGCCGGCCTTGGACATATCAGACAGATTTCTTTGGGTTTATCGCAACGCTTCATGTTATAATTTATGGGAAATATATGAAGACATTTCGAGTAAGCGCCGAGCGATATGCCATGACTTCTGTGCTGAAAAGGTTAAAACACTGGATGCTGTGTATTTTCTAATTGATTTTAATTTGTGATTACAATGCTTGCTTGGAGGCTAACCCGTTTCGCGTTAGACCATGGGAGGCAGCAGAATTCATTCTGGTTGTATGAATCTACTTCTATTTGGAGTACGAGTGCGCAACGACGGTAATGATTTGCAGGCGATGGCAGCAGTTGGGTTTGTTGAAGGATATCTTCGACATGTGCATGAACATCCCGGATTGTGAATCGCTTCCCAAATGGTCCATCATAATTGACGGTCTTGAAAGCAGCATCAAGTAACGTGCATTCACTTCCTGTTCTTCCTTAGCCTGTGTGTTGTATTTTTGTGCCTGCGCTCAATGTACAATTGGGCTTTTTAACCCATACTCACAATCGAGTGTGTCCAGCAGAACTGAGTTCCAATGGTTCTCGGAAGTGGAGAGTTTTGGTGCCCTCCCGTTTCTGCTGTGAAAAGATTCTCCGTTCCGTAACGCTGTACTGGCGTGTCAGCACATACGTCTTCAACAACTAAAGAACACATCGTACACATTTCGTGACAAGTTATTCGTTACATTATAGGTTTCAATAAATAACGAATGAATATTACAGGTACATTTTGGAGAATAGTCGTGTTGAATGGAAGAAGGCAGCCCGAGAACTAAACGCTGGCATAAAGACGACCTGAGTGTCGCATAATTCTTGTTTGGTCTGTCCTGCATTAGTAGTTTTTTTGCACTGCTCATTTATCGATTAAGTTGTAAGTTCCTAAATTTCTTAACCAATCACCAAAAATATTAGCCATCAATGGTCAAAAAATACTCAGGACCTACCTCTTTTAAGAATTTTAAGAAACTTTTAAGAACAGATTGATTCGGCATTGTTTGAGCCGCCTGGCCTTGTGTTTCTTCCCTTCACTCTTGCATCTGCTCAGGAAGGCGTTGAGGGATAGCTCTACATTACCGGATAGTACTCTTTTTAGCTTAACGGGGCGTTGTGAAATAAATTCGCCGATGAAGGAGTACCAGTTTTGTGCAGTGTTACGTTTTTATCACTCCAAACTCCAAAGGGATGATCCCTCGCCAAGCAGGCATCCTGAAACTTTCAGACTGTATTCGCAGCGAGGATGTTTAATATATCTTGTCGCGCCCTCCCTCTCGTCTTCCGCCTCACCCCGCACTCGGCTTACTTACTTTGAGAAGTCTGAATGCTATGATCGCAGAGCAGTTTACTGTGTTTTGTGGCGTGTAAATGTGCATGTCTGTTCCGAAGTAACTTTTGTAAAGAATAAACGAATCGTTATTTGTGCATCAGGAGTGTTTCTTTATACCCACAGAGATGGGTTAGGAAGAAAAGCTGGGCTGGTCCTATAACGGAATAAATAAATAGCAGCGCGCACCAGGGCAGCCGGTGCAATCATGCGTAATTCCGTCTTTCAAAAAATTGCCTGCTAATGATTTTCACTGCCCCGCCGAAACTTTCAGGGGCCGTAAGTGATGCTGGGACGCGCGGGAAGCTAAATTTAAAATTGCAGGGTTGTATGTGGACAGAAGACATTACCATAAAATTTAGCTTCTGGCTTTTATAAGATAATAATTTCCCTGCCAAAAGTTTCATGGGGCCGTATATGTTACTTGCGGGCACGGGAAGGCTGAATATAAATTTTCTAGGTTAAGCGTGGGCAAGGGACATACCCATAAAATCTTAGCTTCTTGGATTCTTTGGTTCCCAAGATAATAATTTACCCGCCTCACGGGACCGTAGGTAATAGCCGAAGGCGTGGGAACGCTAAATTTGAACAGGCAAGGTTGAGCGTGGGTTGGGGTTATTACACCAAAATTTCAGCTTCATATATTCAGTGGTTTCCGAGATAATAATTTACCCGCCAAAATTTTCGCGGAACCGTAGGTGATATCCCAAAGTGCGGGGACGCTGAATTTGAACAGGCAAGGCCGGGCATGGGCGGGGAATTGTTACACTAAAATCTCAGCTTCGTATATTCAGTGGTTCCGGAGAAAATAATTTACCCGCGAAAATTTCCAAGGGGCCGTTCGTGCTACCCGCGGGCAGGAGAAGGCTGAATTTAAAATTTCTGGGTCGAGTGTGGGCAGGGGACATGCCCACGAAATCTCAGCCTTCTAGCTTCCGTGGTTCCCGTGATAATGATTTTACCCGTCTAAACTTCTACGGGGCCGCACGTGTTACTTGCGGGCACGGGGAGCTGAATTTAAATTTGCGGAGTCGCACGTTGGTGGGGAACATTCCCCTAAATTTTCAGCTTCCTAGCTTTCGTGGTTCCCGATTCGAGAGTTGCGGACAAGTTGCTGCGGACACACACACACAGACAACCTCGTGACAATATGCGTTTTGTACT